GGCCCATATTACGACCTTTCCTGCCACAGATGTTAAGTGAATCTCTGCAGTTCATAAGTTAGTTCACACGGTGGTTAAGTGAAGCCGGCTTCCCCATCGACTTTGCTTGTCACAAGGTCACAAAAGAGGGGGATCACAGTGATCTTCGGACCCAGCCTGTAAGTTTTGATCCCATGACCCTGGGGATGTGGTCAGGTGTGCAAAACGGTCATAAGTCAGTGTTGCCAGTGTCCCTGCGAACTTCAAAAGATTGTTAAAACAAACACTTGTAAGTTGTGGGCTCTCTGTAGTTTGCAGGAAAAATTCAGTTGCGTTTAACAATGTTTTTTCTTCCTTGTCCAATTAGAAATATCCCCCCCCCCCAAAAGGAGCCCTTTAGAGTAATTAAACATCCACCTGACTCCTGGGGAAGAAAGTTCAGTTCAGAATAGAGCAGGAAGGGACCTTCGAGATCTTCTAGTCCAGCCCCATGCTCAAGCAGGTGGGGGTTGTTCCGGAGCATTTTCTAAAGGCTTAACACCTCCCATCACCTGTTTCCAGTACTTGGAGCCGAAAAAGAGGGCCAAATGTTTGGAGGTCCCCTTCTTCCACACCCTTTTGGTAACGATCCAGACTTAAGGACCAGGCACCATCCGTTTCTCCTCGCAGCAGGCGCCCTGCAAGGGATTAACAGATTAACAGAGTTGGAAGAGACCTTGTAGGTCATCTAGTCCAACCCCCTGCCCAAGCAGGAGACCCTACACCATTTCTGACAAAGGGCAGTCCAGTCTGTTCTTGAAAGCTTCCAGGGATGAAGCTCCCACAACTTCTGAAGGCAACTTCTGTTCCATCAGTTGATTGTTCTCCCTGTCAGAAAATTCCTCCTAGGTAGAATCTCTCTCCTTGTTCAGTTTCCATCCATTCTCCCTTCTCTGGCCTTCGGGTGCTTTAGAAAATAGCTTGACCCCTTCCTCCTCTCTGGGGCAGCCCCTCAAATATTGGAAGATGCTCTCCTGTCTCCCCTGGTCCTTCTCTTCCCTAGAGGAGCTAGACCCTTCCTCTTATGTCTTAGCCTCCAGTCCCCTCATCATCCTGGTTGCTCTTCTCTGCACTCTTTCCAGAGTCTCAAGATGGGAAGAAATGTGGCTGTGGTCTGTGGATGATGGGAATCTGAATCCCCCAGCAGCCTCTGTGTGTGTGTGTATATGTGTGTGTGTGTGTGTTGAGCTTGCCTTTCTCTGCAAGCTGCAATAGAATTGCATGCCTTATCTCTGCTTGGAAAGTGTGTGTGTGTGTGTGTGTGTGTGTGTGTGTGTGTGTGTGTGTGAGAGAGAGAGAGAGAGAGTGTGTGTCTTTCTTTCTCCAGAGTCCGAGGGGAGGGAGGAGAAAGAGGGGAGGGGGATTGCATGCCCCCTCTTGGAAAGACAGGAGTCTCTCTTTTTGAATGGGGGGGGGGAGAAGGAGGGGAGAGGAGAAAGTGGGGGTGGGGAGAGATTGCACGCCCCCTCCCGGTTTGGAAAGGGGGCAGTCTCTCTCGCTGAGTCCTAGCAAAAGGTGGGAGGGAGGAGGACGGGATTGCACGCCCCTCCTCCCCCTTAGTAAACGTGGGGGAGGGGGCTCTCCTTGTTTGCAGTGCTGGGGGGAGAGAGAGAGAGGGAGGGGGATTTCAACACCCCCCCTGCCCTCCATGGAAAGGGGGGTCTTCCTTTTTGGAGAGTCCGAGAAGGAAGAGGGGGGACTTGCACACTCCCTCACCACTTGGAAAGGGGAGGGGGGGGTCTCCCTTCTTGCAGAATCCGGGGAGAGAGGGGGGAAGCGGGGGGGGGGTGATTCCGCGCTCCCCTCTCCTCCTTGGAAAGTGGGGTCTCCCTTTTCTGAGAGTCCGAGAGGCGGTGGGTGGGAGGAGGGGGAGTCGCACATCCTTTGCCCGCTTGGAAAAGGATCCCCCCCCTCGCTTTTGCAAGAATCCGCGAGTAGAGAAGGGGAGGGGGATTACACACACGCCCCCCCCCCCCACCCTTTGTTAAGGGGGAGGGGGGTGGTTCTCCCTTTTTTCGGAATCCGCCGAGAGAGAGAGAGGACTGGGGGGTGGGGAATTGCACGCCCCCCTCCCCGCTTGGAAAGGGGTGGGGGGGTTTCCCACCCTTTTTGCAGCGCCCAGGGAAGAGAGGAGGGGAGGGGGGGTGTTGCACGCGCCCCCCCTCGCCCCTTGATAAAGAGGGAGAGGGGGAGGAGAGGGGATTGCACACGCCCCCTTCCTCACCTGGAAAGGGTGTGTGTGTGGGGGGGAGTTTCTCCCTTTTTGCAGGGTCCGGGAAGAGAGGAGGGGGCTTGCACTCCTCCTCGCCCCTTGGTAAGGCAGGGAGGGGGGAGAGGGGGGGATTTCACGCCCCCCTCCCCGCTTGGAAAGGGAAGGGAGGGGGCAGGAGGAGGAAGAGGAGGAGGAGGAGTGGAGGAAAGCCCCCCCCCTCCCACTCCCGCGGGGAAGAAGCAAGCCGGGCGCGGGCACGCGCGCTTCCTCTCCCCCCCCCCCCCCCTTGCCTAGCGGGAGGGACGACGGGCGCGCGCGCGGGGGCGGAGGAGGAGGCGGGGCTCGGGGATTCCGGCCGGCGGGTCGGGGGCGCGCGGCGCGCTCGCTGGCTGGGCTGGCTGGCTGGCGCTGGGCTGCGGGGTCGGTCGGTGGCTGCCGGCCGGGCGGGCGGAGGAGCGATGGCCGCGGGCGGCGGCAGCAGCAGCAGCAGCAGCGCTGAGGAGCGGACCTACCGCCGCTTCTTGGAGGCTTTCCTGGGCGAGTTCCGCGGACCTTTCGAAGCGGCGGCCGAGAGCCCCGCGCCCGCCTCGCCCGCCTCCGCCTCCGCCTCCACCTCCACCTCCTCCTCCTCCGCGGGCGGCGGCGGCGGCGAAGCCGGGGAAGGAGAAGAACCGCCGCCGTCGTCGCCGCCGCCGCCTCCTCCTCCTCCTCCGCCTGGCGGGGACGGAGAAGCCACCGCGGCCGAGGAAGTAGAAGAAGAGGAGGATGAAGATGAAGATGTAGAGGAGGTTGAGGAGGAGGAGGCAGCCACAGCTGGACCGGAGGAGGATGGAGAGGAGGAGGAGGAGGAGGAGGAGGAAGGGTCCGGACCGGACGGAGCCAGCCCTCCCGGGGACGCCGAGCCCGAGGAGGCTCCTCCGGCCGAGCCGGCGCCGCCGCCCCCGCCGCCTCCGCCTCGCCCGGCCAGCCCTTGCCCGCCGGTGCCGCTGCCTCCGCTGCCCTCGCTGCCCCGGCCGCTCTCGGAGCACATCACGGAGGAGGAGGTGGAAGGCGAGTGCCTGGACCTCTGCCTGCAGCAGCTCTACAAGTAGTGAGTGCCGGGGATGATGGGCTTTGTGGGGAGAGAGAGAGAGAGACGGGATTCCGGCTCCCAGGCGCCGCTGCTGGCTGGGTGGGGAAAGGGCTTCCCGGGGGCGCCGTGGATGGAGGAAGCGCGCGATGTCTCCGGGAAAGGAAGGTCGGTCAGGTGGGAGGGTTTGGATTCCAGGTCCCATGGTCCACAGGAGAAGGCTGTAGCCCCATGACTCGGGAGAGGTTGTTTGCGAGGGTGGGTGGGGGGACTACAGTATCCATACTCCCGACTTGGGAGAGATTGTTTGGAGGGGATTACACTATCCATGCTCCCCTGTCTTGGACCTCTAGTTCCTTTTACATATCGGGGAAAGGGTGAGGGACTACAACATCCATACTCCCCCATTGGGGATCTCTCACCCTGCATATGGGGAAAGGGTGGGGGGACCACATCACCCATACTCCCCCATTGGGGATCTCTTGCACTGCATATGGGGAAAAGATGGGGGGACTACATCACCCATATTCCCCCATCTCTACCCCTCTCTGTATCTGCTAAAGGTGAGGACTCCACCTCCCAGGCTCCACTGCTTGGGAGACCCATCCCACCGTTGGCGTTGGCGGAGAGGGTTCCCAGCAGGGTACAGAGACTACACTACCCATACATCCCCCCCCCCGTCTCACTCAGGAGGTCTAGCTCAGTCTAGAGAGGCTGCTTGGCAGAGCGTTGGAACTCCAAATCCCATCCTCCCCTGCTTGGGAATCCCAGCCCACCCGTCATCGTAGGTGGGAGAAGCTTCCCGGCAGGATCTATAGACTACAGTATCCATACACCACCCCTGTCTCTCTCAGGAGGTCAAGACCCATCCGGAGAGGCTGCCTTGCGGCCGGTTGGACTCCGCCTCCCATGCTCCCCTACCCCTCTCTATACATACCGCCCTGCCCCTTGCAAAAGCCAGATTGCCTTTCCGCCAAGGTGAGAAAATACTTTGGAATGAAACCTGCATTCTTACACAGATCTTCATCCCAGTTTTGATATCTTCCTTCCTTCTTTCTCCAAGATCAAACCCCTCCGTTTTTTCCCCCTCTTGCTCCTCTCCCCAATACAAAAGAAAGCGCCCCCCCCAAAAAAAATGGGGGGGGGAACAGGACACCCAACAGGGCTGGTATTAAAATCACTTAATTCCGCCCCCCCCCCCCAGCAGAGAATCCATTTCAGCTGACCAGCACTAAAGAACCAGCCCCGCCAGGCACCCTGCAAAAGAGGGGAACTGTCTGTGGATGATGGGAATCGGAGTTCCCCAGCCACATTTTCAGATCTGGAGTGGGGGGGGTTGGGGGGGGGAGAGAGAAAAAATAGGATGCTGTCCGCCTGTACGCAGAATGGATCCATTTACCTTTTCCGCTTGGAATAAGAAAGCCGAGCTGTCCGATCGGCTTCGGTTCCACCTTCAAAATCGTGGGTGGGGGTGAGGTACCCCTTTTTCTATGCCCCCCACTTCACCCTGGCCTTGACCCCACGGAAATCTAGTACTTGGAGCCCAATATTCTTCCTTGAATACATGAATTGCGAATCAAGCAGAAACTATACAGGCATTGTGTGTGTGTGTGCGTAAATGTCTATACAGTATGAGTGTGTGCACGTATGTATATATGTACAGTGTGTGTTTGTATGTATGTATATGCATATATATATATATGTTTTCTGAGGTTTTCTGAGGTATATATATATATATATATATACACACACACACATACACACATACATATATAGGCACAGTGTGTGTGTGTGTGTGTTTTAACAGAATTACCGAGTTGGAAAGGACCTTGGAGGTCTTCTAGTCCAACCCTGCTCAGTATATAGACACACACACACACACACACACACACTCAGATAGATGCACTGTGTGTGTTTGTGTGCGTATATGTGCTCAGGGATTCGCTTGAGTTAAAAGCTGTCCTTTTAGCCTTATTGCTAGATAATTTTATAGGTGCATGTTTTCATGTATAATATATATGCATGCGCATACACACACGCACAAAGAGAGAGAGAGAGAGAGAAAACATGAAAATATGCACACACAGAATTAACCAGCAATAAGGCTCAAAGGATACCTTCAGAAATCAAGAGAACCCCTGAGCGTTTGCAAAGTGTAATCTGCCTCCTCTTCCTCCAATCTTCTCTAGCTATGCAAGGGGAAATTAATTATTTGACTCTGTGCAGAAAATCCTTCTGGCACATTTTAAAATTTTCAGCTCCCACCAGTCACTGCCGGGGTTTTTCCACCTCTGCATTTTCACCTCTGCATATATAAATCTCGGTTTGGAGTGGATTTGAATCTTCCCTTTAGTGCTGTTGATTTCTGATTTTCTTCAATCTATTTTTACTGTGAGACATCACACACACACACACACGCACACACACACACACACACGCAGAGTCATGGAAGGAAATTGATCAATATTGCCTGCGGGAGGAAAGGCATCCCAGCTAGTTTAAAGAGACTCTCTTTCCCGGCTGTTACTTTTTTTGGAATTGAGCCTTGACATTAATAGGAAAGGATGGCTGGATGTCAGCGATTCTAATCTGGTTACCAAAGCACATTGCATTTTATGTTTTTTTAAAAAAAAGAAAAGAAAAGATTCCAGAAGCCCTGGAGTTCCCCACGTATTGCTAAAAGAAATATATATATATATATTAAAAGGTTCTTATCTATAGACCTATCTCTGTAGATAATCCTGAGATGAAAGGACTCAGGGTTGAAATTTGATATGTCTAATAAGATATATATATTTTTTCCCCCTCCTTGCAAAGGGTGACCGGAAGGTGAAAGGATGCTTGCAAAATAAATAAATAGATTAAATACCCCTGTTTACAAGGAAGGGGGAGATTCGATTTCAGGAAAAGGTTGGGGGAATGGAGAGAAATGGTAGGTGAGAGAAAGCAGGAAATTTTCCCTGGGTTGAAATAGATTGATGGCTGGCAAAGTAGGCATAAGGCAAAATTTAAAAATAGGCCAAAAAATTAAAATTAAAAAGAGGTACATATTTAAAAAAAAATGCATACAAACTTAGATGGATACGGCATGCTGCCTAACCGTTTATACGTTGCAGATTTGCAAAGATTTGGTATGTGTGGACAATGTCGTTAGTGCCTTTATTTTATTTCTTGATTCCAACCGATTTAATGCGGCTGCCCAACTCAAAGACTCGCAGGTGGTTTAAAATAATGACTTGAACGTGGGTGCAGAAGAACCCGGGTGGATGGCATTATTTCATCCCAAGAACCGGGGACTTTCCCTCTTCCTCTGGGATCGGAGCTCAACTTTCCAGCCTGACCTGGGGAATAATCCAAATTGTCCTAATTTTAGTTTGGCTTGGCTTGGCTCTGAAAACGGTGGGGAAGGAAAGCTGGCTTAAATGAGGCTAACATTTGCCATCCAGGTGGGAAAATCCTGCCGGGATGAATTAGTCGAGGAGGAGAGGTGGGGGAATCTTCCTAACCAAATTAATTTGACAGCGAGTGATTTGAGAGGGGCAGTTGGGGACACCCTTTTTTTTGGAGAAACCGAACAAAACCCCTTCTTCTCGTTTCTCTCCCGGACTGATGCATATCCGATTAGCCTTGTAGCGAGCAATGAAATGGAGAAATTCAAACCATAAGGAATCAGGCCGGTTGCCGAAACGCCTTTGCAAGATCTGATGTGCAGGCTGAACTAGAATTCCCACCTTCTCCTAAACCCAGCAGGCAGGGTGGGGAGAGGCATTTGTGCTCCCCGTTACAGCTGGGTGTAACTGGGTGCCTAAAATTGGGCTAAATTTTGAATTGAGGATTTGGAAGCACCTGGGCAAGAGACGGATGGGGTGTTTCCGCTTGCAGACTTAACCCCAAATTGGTCCCAGATGCTTTGGTTCTGTGTTTCCATCCTGGCTGGCTGGCTGGCTGGCTGTGCAACATGGTTGGGGGGGTTATTTTTCCCTCCCTCTCTGATCAGAGAGATGGAAGAGGCTGTTCGGATAATAGGCTCAGCGTGTTGAAAAAAACCAGTGAAGTGTCCACTGTAAAATGAAAGATGCTAGAGGCTATTCCAGGAGTAAAATAAGATTTTTTCGGTTGGGGGCCTGTTTTATTCCTGCTGCGACTGCTGCTTTGAGTCAGGTGGGGGAGAAATAATATTTTTTTGGCTTCTTGTCTTGGTACTTCGTGTTTTAGCAAAACTGTTTTTCTAAATCAGCTCTTCTGTCATGTCCTCGTTCTCAGCCTGGCACCAGTTTAATTACACGACCTACCATAATCAGGAGGAGGTTTAGTTAAAAGGATGGGGTTGTTGGTGTTTTTTTTTTAATTACTGTAAGAATCTTCCTTGTTTTAAGTGGAATGGGCTCATCACGGTATAGCTATCTTTTGGGGAAAGGAAGAGTTTGGAACAAGGAGAAGAGGTTGCAGAGACAGACGGACGGACACGCAAAGCTGTCGACTGAATTTGTCTCTTTAAAAAAGGAGATCAGGAGTGTGAAATTCAGCGAACGGCTAGTTTTATTCCTTAAACTAGACAAACCGTGATCTGTGGGGTCATTTCCCCACACACACCCCGCCCCCAGATATAGGCAGTGCTCGACTTAATGACCGCAAATGGAGACCAACATTTCTGTTGCTGAGCGAGACAAAATCCATGCAATCGATTCGCCACAGAGAAGAGGGGGTCAAGCTATTTTTCTAAAGCCCCCGAAGGCCAGACAAGGAAGAATGGATGGAAACTGATCCAGGAGAGATTCAACCTGGAAATAAGGAGAAATTTTCTGACCGTGAGAAACCATCAACCCTTGGAACAGAAGTTGCCCTCGGAAGTTGGAGGCTTTCAAGAAGAGACTGGGCTGTCATCGGTCAGAAATGGTGTAGGGTCTCCCGCTTGGGCGGGGGGTTGGACTAGATGACCTACAAGGTCCCTTCCAACTCTGATTATCTGTTATTTGTTAATTTTGTCCTATTTTATGACCTTCCTTGGCACAAGTTGTTAA